CTCATGGACCTTGCTTTCAATTTAATAATTTCATAAACTTTTTTATAATGATTAGTGTAATTAAACTATTGGGAGTTGGAATTATAAAACACTACCTTTTTGAATATGCTCTTCCGTATCTCTTAATCATATAAGTTATAATTAGTACTGTTTACTTATATAAAAAAAAAAATTCTTTTGAAATGTCTCCAGAGATCTGACATGGAACATCAAGGTTGGAATTTTGAGGAGAATTATAATTTGTCCACTAATAGAAGATCGATAAGGTACATAATAATGCTTAATCTTATATCCTATTAAATTTGCACTTTTTATATTGAAAAAAAAAATATATAGTATAGGTTATGAGTTTGTGTATGTAGGCCAGAAGATGAACTAGTGGAATTGTTATGGCGAGATGGGCAAGTGGTTTTGCAGAGCCAAACATATAGAGAGCAAAACCAAACTCAAACTCAGAAACAAGATCATCATCGTCAAGAAACCCTAAGATCCAACACTTTTCTTAAAGATCAAGAAACCGTTTCTTGGATCCAATACCCTCCAGATGAAAACCCATTCGAAACCGACGATTTCTCCTCTCATTTCTTCTCAACCGTCGATCCGAGCTCAGAGACGACGGTTAAGCCTAAATCCGGTCCTTATCCTCCCCAAGTCATGCCACCTCCTAAGCTTAGGCCAACGGATTCATCATCATCATCAGGAGTCAGAGAGCTAGGGAAGGAAGAGTACTCGGTAAAGACCGTTGGGCCGAGCCACTGCGTGAGCAACCAATCGCAGAACGACCTCACTGTGGAAGGAAAAGATGTCTCAATGAGTCATGATCAAAGCAAAACTATCGAAGAAAAGGTTTACCAGAACGCAACTTCCTCATCAGGTGGCTCCTCTGGTTGTATCTTTGGCAAGAACATGAAAGAAATGGCTAATGAAAGAAACATCACGACAGACCGTAAGAGAAAACATATAATGGACACTGATGAATCTGTGTCTCATTCAGATGTATGCTTATATTAACTCATGATGATAAGTTCTTGAAAACGTTTTTTTTTTGTGTGTCCATTGCTCATAGTTCTTGATTATTCATAATTTCAGGCTAATGGTAACAAATCGAATCAAAGATCAGGATCAACGCGAAGAAGTCGAGCAGCAGAAGTTCATAATCTCTCCGAAAGGGTACTTCATCGCTTCGTCA